GGGAGTGTGCTGAGCCTGCAGAGCCTGCAGAGGGCGCCTGCTGCTGCATGAACTTGGGGGAGATGACATGCATTTAAACACTCACCCAGTGCTTCCTGTGGACTCTCTCCAGAGCCTCCGACCCCTTTCTCCACCCAGATTCCCATCCTTTGGGGGTGCCGAGATGTCTGCTCCTATCAGACTCTCGTTCCTTCCCGCCAGAATGAGCATCTTCTGCCTCTTGGCATGTGCATCTCTGCCTCGTCCACACCCATCCTGTGTTCACGAGATGCTTAGTCAGCACCCACTGGGCGCCTGGTGCTAACATGGGTGAATGCCCCCAGCTGACTACTGATGGGAGCCTCCTGTGGTGCCCACCCTGCCTCAGGCGCTGCGGGCCCTACCCTCAATGCCCTATGATAACCGTGTGGATATATTCTTATGGCTGTTACCATGGGAAGGTTTGTGCAGGTGGCATTTGACTGGTCTGAGGGAGGAGTTCATTGCTCTGCCTATGACTCCTTGCTTGGTGGACCTACTGTGTGATTCAGTGGTTTTTGCTGGTTGGACAGATCGCTGGAGGCCCTTGGTGTGTCTGCAGCAGGGCTGCAGGTTGGAGGTGGAGGTGCCTGGAACACTGGCCGGGGGCTCTGTATTCATTTCACCTGACACTTGACTGAGACACTCGCTCCTTCCTTCCCCTGGTGCACATGCACTGGGTGTCAAGCCTCGGACCCGGGGTCAGTGGGGAGAAGCACTCGCAGTTGCTGCCCTGCAGGAGGGTGGTTACTAATGGTTGCGATATGCTTGATCCTGTGCTTTTCCAAGACATAACAGGGAAGCAGGAGGTGGGGACCCTAATGGTCCATAGCCCTGTTTGTCAAACCTGGATGAGAAGATCGCCGCCCTGAAAGCCCAGCAGAGCCGTCACCCCCACCTTCCATTTCCCATGTCGGGGCAGCCTCCACTTGTGGCTAAAGGCCACAGGAAGGAATGTTTGTCTTCCAACAGCCGACCGAGCGGGTGTGTGTGTCTGAGTCCGCACAAGTCTTGGCTCCAGGCAGATGGTACAAGTACAGCTGATACGGGGTGGGCGGGGACGGGCGGGGATGGAGGGCTGCAGGCAGGGGCTGAAACCCTGGAACCTGGGTGGCCTCTGTCAGCCTGTCTCTGGGTGTGGACACCTCAGGAAGGGGGTCTGGAAAGGGTTTGCCTGTCTGGGGAAGATTGAAAGGTGATGACTCAGTCTCACCTTGGACCCTGAGGAGACCCCTGAGTCACCTGAACAGGGAAGGTTCCTGCAGGAGGAGGAACAGCCTGGGGCTGGTCAGGGGCTCCCTCTTGTGCTCTGCTGCCCTCCGGAGAGGCTGTGCGGGACCCTCTGCAGACTGAGACAGGAAGGAAATAAAAGCCCGAGCTGAGGGGGAGGCTGTGGGAGAGCGAGGGCAAGGGCTGGACTGGGGGTGCCTTGAGGAACAGGGTGTACAGTTGCCCATGATGGCTGCTTGGGCCCCACCAGGCAAGCCTCTGGCCCCCAAGCTGCCTGGATCAGAGCAGGAAGAGTCGTGTTCCTGAGCTGGTGGGCAGGGCTCACCCAGGGCCCGGTGAGGGGGATCAGCTGTTATGGGCGGTGGAATTCTGCTGTATGTGCAGTGGTTTCTGTGAGAAGGGCGTGGAGTTCAGAAAACAGTGGTTTTGTTCCCAGTGGATGAAGGAGGGAGGCTGCTTTGACAGGGACTGGAACGGACCATGGAGACACGTCGGGTGGGAGGAGGGGGACTTGCCTCCTGTGCCGGAGGAGACCCCCAGAGCTGGCCCAGTGACTGTCCCCTCTCTCTGTCCAGCCCTGTCCCCTGCAGATCCCCCTCTCCCTCAGCTCTGCAGAGAGAGCCGCTCACCCAGGCTTTGAGGTCTCCCTGGGTTTCCATTCCTAGCGGGTATGTTTCCCTTCAACAGATACAAGGACCAGCTCCAACATAAGGCGGCGCTGGAGCAGCTGGGGACGCTCTTGACCACCGAGCGGGAGGCTCTGCAGCAGGAGCAGAGGACGAGCGCCATGGCCGCCGAGGAGAACCAGAGGCTGCAGCGAGAGCTGGACAGGTAACCCCCAGGCCCCCTGCAGCGCCTCTGCCGGGATGTCAGTCAGACCCACTCACTAAGCACCCGCTGAGCTGAGCTCAAGTGAGACCCCTGGTGATGGTGCATTTTTACCAACCCTGCCCTGGAAGCCGCTAGTGGTAACAAGGTAAAGGCGCCTCCAGCTGGTGGCTGGAAAGGACTCAGCAGCTGGGATGGGGCGTTGTCTAGGTTTGGACAACCTCCCCTCCCACAGTTATGATGCTGATGACTGTTGGGCAGGGGCACCTGCATCCTCTCACACCAGCGATCCCGTGAGGGAGGGGGCTTGGTCCTCAGCATTCACGCATTCCCATTTGTGAATTCACCTCCTGGCTGAAATGTACTGGTGACCCCCAAATCAGTGCCCGTGGCCTGTCATGGATGTGCCCAGAGTGGGAGATACTGGAGTCGCCTGATGTGCACATTTGCAGCTGAGGTTGAACAAGGCCTTTGACCCCAGCCTTGTTTCAGCTCTCACCTGCCAGCGTCCTCTTCATGGGCCACTGAGTGCCATGGTGTTCTAATTTGTGTGCTTTGGTGGCGATTTCGCTGTTTGAAATGGCCCCCAAATGGAGTGCTGAGGTGCTGTCTAGTGTTCCCAAGTGCAAGGCTGCGCTGGGCCTCACGGGGAATATTCGAGTGGCACACAAGGGTCATTCGGGCCCAGGTATGGTGCTGTTGGCTCTGAGTGTATTACACGAGGCGTCTTTATGTCTTGATGAGCTGACAAAATGTGACCCGAGACTCCCAGGAACCGGTGGGAACAGTTTCAGTACTCACTAATTCAGGGTTCGCGTGGTTGGGTAGAACATTATGCTGTGAATCACAAGAATTGACTGAGCTATTGTTATCCTTTAAAAAATCCACAGCAACAGAGGAGGAAACAGGCTCAGGGAGATTAAACAACTTGTTCAAGGTCAATGCTCCTAGTTAGTGACACAGGCAGGATTTGAATCCAAGTCTTGCATCAACCCAGAGGCGTGACCATATGAATCCTTCCTTCCCACAACCTGATTTAACATGTTCTGGGGCTGTAAATTCAGCTGCCTGCAGTGACCGGGCAGGTCCAGCA